ATGAAGGGTCCACTTGAAAATGGGTGCCGCATTGGTACAGGTGCTATCAAGAGAATTTCTGACAATTTATCTGATTTAAAGGTTTTTTCTTCCAAAAGAATTCAATCGCCAAAGCCCAGAATCACTTTGAATCGTGCCTCTCCAAGGTGGAAAGCAGAGCCAAGTTTCGACAGTTCCCCTTGCGTCATTTGAATTCTGAGCCAGTTGTTCTTATTAAGGAAAACACCTTCCAGCTGATTTGTTACAAGCATTTTAACTGTTAATGTTTTATAGGTGTGTTCTGCTTGTCTTGTTCTTTTTTTGTATACTTACAGGATTATGTCAATGCCTACTTTTGCAAGTTTTTTAATTCAGTTTGGTGAAGCTTTATGGCAGGAATCATGCTTTTTTTACAATGTACATGGTTTTGACACACTTGGATCAGATTGTAATGAACTTTTTGGCCCCCCACTAGGGAAAATTTCTCTGCATTTGCGTTTTAAAGCTTTCTTTGGGAAACTGAAGCATTCTTGTCGAAAACCCACATTTCCATTGCAAACAAGTGATTGTAGAAAATTTATGAAAGTAAAGGAAATCTGTTAAATTCTGCCTCCTAAGATTTCAAACAAAGAAGGCATTTTGAAGAAAAATCATGTAAATGGACCGTTGCCATTAAGATTTAACCATTTGGTGGTTTCACAGTTTAAAGAAATCCATTTTCCGGATTGCTTTTTCTCAACATCGAGAGGCAACTACTGCTTTCTTATAAATGATGAAGTTGGTATTATCAGGAATATAGTACTGAACGATAACACTGAAAAAATCTTTGTTTGTGAACAATTTTTAAATGTTGCAGATTTTTTCAAGATTTTTTACCATCTTCAGACCTTAGAATAAAACGTGTTGCAGACCTCAGTGGCATTTTGTGCGTTGCTGATATTAGAGACATTATTTGTAAATGTGTACTTCTTCCTATTGATGATGGTTTTGTATGTATACCACTGATACATGACTTGGAGTCTAAGTGATTGGAGATGACTGTCTAGAACTTCACAAACAGATACCGTACTTTCTTTAATGATTTAAGGTGTTACAAGGCAGTGTTTTTTTTTTTCACCAAAATATTAGGCGAAATTTGGCCCCATTCCCCCCTCAAAATAGTATGGTTTTTTCCCCCTCTCAAAGCCGAAATTTCCCCCCATATGGCAGCCAAAATTTGCCTGCAATGAATACCATTTTTTTGCATAAAACTGCCGAAAAATGTTTTATTTTAAGCCTGTAAGACTTACTGTTAAGCAAAGTTGTTTACAAATTGTTCCAGGGTATGTAAGGGGAGCTACTCACTGCTTCCAGGGCATTAGACAACTTTTGGGGACAGGTACCCATACCCTCAGGAAGGGGAATTTTGCGTCATTTTAAGACAAAAAGGGGAATTTTAAGCCATATATGAGTTCTTTAAGTTTAGGTTTTACACTAACTCTTGGCACAATTTCCTACCATTACTTACAATAGCTAGTATATTTATTACTATAGACCTAACAAGTAAAACATATAACATGAAGTTTTTCTTGAGATAGGCTATCTCATTGTTTTCTTTATTGCTTTCTTATTGCACTTGACTGACTCAGACATCAATCAGAGCTCCAGATATATGTTTTTGGCCAAGGGTTTTATACCCCTCAAATTCTAAAGTGAGGGGTAAAATGCAAATTCTGAAAAACGTTAGGGTAATTTTAAAATCTATAACAAGCATAATGCATTGTTGTTTATGATAAAAAAATTAAAACTGACAGTTGTTTTTGTTGTTGTTGATTTAAAAAAAAAACTTGTACAACAAAAATTGAATCAGTGCAACAAGCTCTGGAAAGGCAGACTTTCCTAGGCAAGGGTATGTTGTACCCAAGTTATGGAAACACAGGAAAATTATTTCCTATTATAGTCATTAATTGTTTCTTTATTTTTAAAGTTAAAAATGTATCACACTATTTTGCAATCTGCACTGGTCAGTTCTTAATCTATTTTCTACATATTTCTGCCTGTTCTTTAGATTGAAACAATTATAACAATGAGAACTGAAATAAAAATTAAATAAAAATAAACAAGAAAGTTTTATGCCTTTTCTAAAAAAGGTTTTGGTTTCAGAGAAAATTGTCTGTAACTGTAAAACTGGGTACGAAAATATTTGAGTACAAAACTGCAAGAGAAAATACGTTTTTTCCAACAACAACTGACAGAAATTAAAATAGTTTTTGTTTATTTACTAGCAGAATATGACAATGTATGTCTATTCTCTAAACAAATTGAATATAAGGTAAACTCCTACGATGATTATCTGCCACATTAATTTGTCAATAATTTTACGAGAGTTACCTCCTTGTACATTTCTCACTTCCTGCTACTTTCGGTTTTAACATACAGCGTTGTTGACAACTGTAATTTAGTTTTCAATCCATTGAAAGTTAAACAGAAATATATTTTATTTTTATGAAATCAAAACATCACTTTTTTTGTTAAATATCAAACATTTATACTATAATTTTTTTTAGGGGAATTTTCTGCTGAAATAGGGGAAAAAAGCATATGATTTTGAGAGGGGAATGGGGCCGATATTCGGCCCCAAAAATGGCCAAACGAGTGCCCTGGCTTCCCAACAAGTTAAACATGCGACGCTTAAAATTCTGCTGTCAATATTTTAGATCCGTATATTAAGAAAGAGCGACGTATTTTAAACTTGTGTTGCAAGAGTTGCTCCCCTTTTCTACTCACCGGAAAGAAAACAATGTCAAACAAAAGTAAATCTTACAGTCATTGTATACACACCGGTCTCTTAAATATCGGTGTACACAATGATATTACAGTGTTAAGTGGTGTATTAAAATATGCATTGGATTCGTTTCTGTTTCTCCTCATTTATGAAGAAATAAAATTCCCCCTCCTATTGCATTTTTCCCCCTCCAAACGGCACCGACCCCCTTCCCCCAAAAGTGAAAAAAAAAACACTGCAAGGAAACTGTTTTGTCTTTTTTGTCTTTATTGTCTCAGTTCATGTTAAATGACTGCTGAATGGTTCGCTCATAACACCTTAATACATTTGATATCTTTTGTCTGTGTTTTAATGCAACCAAAATTGCACTCAGTCAGATGTTTTGATATATATGAAACTTTTGGTACTTTGAATCGCGATTTTTAAGAGAAATTTGTGTTTTAGTATGTGTTTCAAAATTGCATATGATATATGTTTCTAAAATTTTATAATTTAAATAAATATTTTCTTATCAAATTCCAGAATTTTTTTTCAACAGAACTTTGCCTGCAGTTCTTTTACAAAAATTGTATGATGCTTACTCTTTGCTTTCGTTTTACCAGACAATGTCTGATGCCTACTCTTTGCTTTCGTTTTACCAGACAATGACTAAGTATCTGGTGGTTGGGCCACTCTTAAAAAATTATCTGTTTGCTATTGCCGGTCGACCAAGCGAAAATGCCCCGACTCAAAAGTTTTTTTCAGCTTAAAAAAATCAGATTTATTTTTATTTCCGCCAAATCAGCAAGGGCATTCCATCTAAAAAATTCCCTCGAAAACAAAAATAAAATTGGAGGAAAATCACACATTTAATATGTAAAGTAACGAGTGATCATTCATGAGGGCATTCTGTGCGTTACTATTTAAAGTATTTACAGAAATAGCAACCAACCAGGGAAGGATATTTTCCTTACGTCACGCAGTACTGCATGCGCGCGGCATTAAGTCGATTAACTAATAATAAGAACGTATCAAATTAAGGTGTGGAAACGGGATTAAAAATAATGTTTGTTCAGTTAATGAATATTTGTGAAGCATTTATATGGTCACTAGTTTACCATGTGGTAATTTTAATGTGCTTTGGAGTACATGTTTGTTTGTTTATGACTGCCGACACAGATTAAATACTTAGCCCATGCAATAAAACATTTCTGGTAGCAGCGGGGATTCTGTCATAAAATTTACCGAAAAAATAATTATTTGGAAGCTGTGGTCATTTTATATGCATTATTGTTTTGATAGCAGACACAATTATTGCAAAATATCTTCAAGATCATAAAAATGTAAATAAAATATCACAATCAAATCACAGATTTACATACGTCTAATTAAACTCCATGTCAAAATGCACTTTACGATTAATAATATGTCAATAATTGACACGATAAATATCCAACATTTTTTACTTGAGCAATAATTAAACATGTGTAATCATTCCTTGACAAAAAGAAATGACAGTTTTTTTTTCTGATATATAAAAAAGAGTGGAAGTCGATTGAGCCTCGGCATTTTTTTGATGATTCGGCAACAACTACAGGTGTGTAAACATCAAAGATTCACAGATTCTTCAGAAGAGCCGACCAGTCATTTGTCAGAGGTCATTTCGTGTGTAAATTTTGTATTTATATTTAACAATGGAAACATTATATTCCTTTTATCTATGGATGCTACTTTTTGCGCGAGTGTTTTTGTGTCTTTTAGCGCTATGGAATTTCAACAATCTGCGATAATTTTCGGGAACTAACAATGAAATATTTTAACGATCCGCCATTCAGAAATTATAGGAGACAAATCTTGCGTGTGTTATTTTTTACAGACCTGTAATAAATTGAGTAATGATCATGCATCCATGAGAACGAAATGTCCTGGTGATCCACTATAATTTTTCCAGTTCGTACGGGAATTTAAAGCAGGATTAGTTTATCACATCGGTAATTTGACCATGCTTGAATTTATGTCTACATAGTCATTTTTTTTATTTCATGTTATGATTACTAGTGAACATGTTTTTTATTGTTTTGACTGTGTTTAACATGTTAGTTTTGCGGATGATGATAGTGTAGCCCAAATTTCCACAATCTGTTACAACGTACTAAGCGTATTAACTTATGTTCAGTAAAAATTATATAAAAAAAAAAAAAGCCTACCTACCGACCCACTCCTTATAACTCTGGGTCGGCAATAGCAAACATATATATTATTAAGGATGGCCTTGAATTCGATACCAATGAAATAGCCGTCGTATCTGAAAAATGGCTTGTCAAGGAAAGTGGCACAGACAGTTCCGATGATACCGTTCTTTGGCCCCCTGTCAAAACATCAGTCAAACTAGGTTTGGCATTAAAACAACATGCCGAGCCAGACAACACCTGGGTGTCCTGTAGAATTATAAGGACAATGTACACTACTGGTAAATATAAACATAATTTTGTACATGTACCTAATTGAATAAATATAAATAATTAAAAGATATAAATAGATTATTCTAGAGAGAAAGACCTTCACCAAAAAACCCCAATCTGTTCCCTTCCTTTGAGGGTTTATGTATAGATGTGATATTTCTATTTTTAAAAATTATGTTATCTTGTCAGAACTCTGATAGGAGATTCCTTTTTTAAGTTATTAGCGGTAGCTGCCAATGAGGCAGATCAATTATTTTTGATAAGGCGTAAAATAAAAATATTTTTGTTTGGGGTAACCTAACCCTACCTAGCAAAAGGTGCCGACCCTAACAGTTTTTTCACATCTCTTTGGAAAAATAGTCATTGGCAATTTAGACCCATTCATGTAACAAAAGTTAGGTTAAAAAAAACAAAAACACCTACCTACCCTACCTAGTTATTTTGGAGATGTTACCCTAAACAAACATAATTTTTATGTGGCCTAAAGCATTGGTGGAAAGTTGGAAACCATGGACTTATTGCATTAGGAGGGTATTGCTTAGTGAAAGCACTACTTTACCAATTGATTGAATTTGATACAAATTGACTTATACAAATGATTCAGATTTGTTGCAAAAAGCGCTAAGGAAGGCAAAGGAGGCAGAGGATGAGTCTGACATTCTTACTGATATATGCACAGATAGTACTCTAACCACTTCAACACCAAAAAAGGGGAATAAAAGGAAGCATAGGTATTTGAGTTTAATGATACATTTATGTCTGTAGAAAGAAAAATAGGGGGAAATCTGTTAAAATCGTGAATGTTTTAAAAATGTGTCTTTGTAGTCATATCATGTTTACCACAACTTGAAAACCCTTCTTTCATGATTATAAATAATGGTTTCAGTGTCTATTCTAGGAATTGAAAAATAGGGGTGATTTTCCCCCCTCTATTTCAAAAAAGGGGGCGATTTTCAAAATCAAGGGGTGCCAATATAAACTGCCAATGTTAAGTCATCTGCATTAAGTTTACACTGAGGCGTTCAACCGATGAAATAATTAAACAATAATATTTATTTAAGGCAGCAGAAGTTGTCCCCCCTTAATTTTTAAACGAAAACATATTATTACAGAACTGCCGCGATTGATTATAAAGGGAATGGCAATACAAATAATCAGCCTATCTTTCACGTCTAGATCGTAGCCAAGCTAGGAATTGCCTCATTTTTCTTGATTATTTACTACACTAAAATGGCGCCCAACTGTCAGACCTAGCACACCAGTTCTGGTCGATACGGAACATTCCGTTAATTTCCGTCAACTCGCGTAACCAATACCATACGGTACTTAATTATTATAATTAGCTTACAGTTACCTCCCTTCGGTTTTCGGTGTAAATGTAAACAAAACAACCAAATATAATGTGGGATGGAAGTTTTACGGTTTTTAACCAGGTTTTCAATTTTGAAAATCCTGGTTATTAGATTGGGGTATGGCGGGCGGATGGGCGGATGGGCGGGCGTCAAACGAAATTGTGTCCGCTCTGTAACTCTTCAACCCTTTGAAGAATTTTGATGAAACTTCAGACAAATGTTTACCACATCAAGATGACGTGCAGAACGCATGTTCCGCATGGCTGGCTCCAAGGTCAAGGTCACAGTGACATTAACATTGAAAATCCTGTCCGCTCTGTAACTCTTCAACCCTTTGAAGAATTTTGATGAAACTTCAGACAAATGTTTACCACATCAAGATGACGTGCAGAACGCATGTTCCGCATGGCTGGCTCCAAGGTCAAGGTCACAGTGACATAAACATTGAAAATCCTGTCCGCTCTGTAACTCTTCAACCCTTTGAAGAATTTTGATGAAACTTCAGACAAATGTTTACCACATCAAGATGACGTGCAGAACGCATGTTCCGCATGGCTGGCTCCAAGGTCAAGGTCACAGTGACATTAACATTTGAAAATCCTGTCCGCTCTGTAACTCTTCAACCCTTTGAAGAATTTTGATGAAACTTCAGACAAATGTTTACCACATCAAGATGACGTGCAGAACGCATGTTCCGCATGGCTGGCTCCAAGGTCAAGGTCACAGTGACATTAACATTGAAAATCCTGTCCGCTCTGTAAACTCTTCAACCTTTGAAGAATTTTGATGAAACTTCAGACAAATGTTTACCACATCAAGATGACGTGCAGAACGCATGTTCCGCATGGCTGGCTCCAAGGTCAAGGTCACAGTGACATTAACATTGAAAATCCTGTTTACATGATTTTAACTTGATTTGGCAGTCAAAGGTCATATCATCTTTGGAGGTAATTTAAAAAAGATATGATATATTATTTCATGTCTACTTTGTAACTTGTTTTTCATTATACAGAATTATCAATATAATTATAGTGAACAAATTCTTCTGTGCTGAACTCGTCCTACATTTCTCAACGGATTTTGTTCAAACTTTCACATAAGCTTTGTCATCAAGCACCCTGGCACATATTGTCGGGGTTTTGTGATTGGATAGTTTTTGACCTAATTATGGCCCTTTGTTTTTTTCCTTATACATAATATTATAGTGAACACTTCTTCAGTGGCAATTCCTCCTACATTATTCATGTTTTACATTGCACATAGTTACATTGTTTGTTGCTTGTATTTGTATTTCAAATACAACATATTTATCTACAATGGTGATAATTGAAAACCTGGTTTCATGGCATTGCCATGTTTCTTGTTTTTACTTTTTTTATAGATGCGCGATTTTCACATACATGATTTTGAATTGTGCGCGATCTCTGAAATACTAGCGTGAATCGCGCAATCGCGCGTCCTAGAATAGACACTGTGGTTTATACAAAGAGTAGGGGTGTAACAATACAGCAAAAACCGTATTGCAATATATTGCCATTTTGCTGAAGCGTATTGCAATATATTGCAATACGTATTGTCTTGTATATGTTTTTATGTAAAGATGGAGTAACATTTATATATTATTATTATATGTATATATTTTTAGTAGAAACTTAATAAAAATGTAAGGAATAAATAGAAAGTAAAGTGTCACACAATTTGATAAACAAAACTAGTTGCGTGTGACCTTTCACATCTGGGCCGCTTATGTAAATTATGCGGCCGCTTATTGACTTTTAAGTGTACTAGTTGTCGGATACTTTTATCTTACGTTGACGCCAACAAAATTGGCCAATTAAAGATTTTATGTGAAATTTGTACAAAATTAGAAGGCAATTAATTGAAAATTATGATTTTTTATAAAATACCGGTTTTCCAAAAATCGTACCGCGGTACGAAATTTATTTTTTCATATTGCAATATATCGGTATACCGGTAAACCGTTACACCCTTAACAAAGAGTATAGCATATATTTAAATATTTGTGAACTTAATTGAAAATAAGATGTTTCATTAATTTAAACAGCATATTTTTCAATTTCTCCTGACATAAAACAAAGTATACATGTTAATAACAGTTTATTGATTTACCTTTTTTCATATGATATTTCAAACATTAAGACCTATAACTTAAAGTTAAATGTTTATTTTATCATCTTAAGTACATGTGTAGTTGAATTTGACATTGAAATTATATATATATATATGTTACCCTTTTTGTTAAAACTGAAGGCCAAACCCACGATTCATGGATTCAGAATCAGAGAAAGAGAGTGAAGGTGATTACCCAACTCCGCCAAAAAAAATTCCTGAAGCTCGAAAAGTTACACCACAATTTCGGGCTTCATTAAGGCCACAACCTAAAGTGTCTCTAAGTTCACAACCTCCAAAGTCTGCAAGTCCTCACCCTCAGGAGTCTTCAAGGCCACAACCTCAGGCTACACCAAGACTGCAACCTCATGAGTCTTCAAGGCTGCAAACTCCGGTGTGTACAACGACGCAACCTCAGGAGTCACGAAAGCCTCACCAGGTGTCACTAGGGCCACAACCTCAGGCGTCACGAAAGCCTCATCAGGTGTCACTAGGGCCACAACCTCAGGCGTCACGAAAGCCTCATCAGGTGTCACTAGGTCCACAACCTCAGGCGTCTCCAAAATCATCATCATCGACATCTAGCTCAGACCAAGCTCAGAATATTCTCTCGGGTAGAAATTTTTTGTTCTTTAATCAGTAAAAGTTGCTAATTTAATTTGAAAACATGCTTTTAAATTAAATATAAATCATAAAATGTATATCACATTTAAGGCCCCCACGATTACACGTTTAAACGGAGTCGTTTGATTTTCATTCATAAACGTTTACTATATTGTTTACCGTTTAATCAAAATGACTATATTGTCTTACAAAATTTCTTAATAATTGCCTGTAATCATGAATTTTATCACATCTAGTGGTTTATTCCAAAGTAAACAAACGGAAAATGGGTGTTTACAACCCTTTACACATCATTATGGGGTTACAATGCAAAAAATGTGTGCTGACTCAATCGTGATGAGCCCTGTACATTCTTTATTAGTACATGTATTAAAAATAGAAAGAAAGACATCATTTGGCGACTCAAATACATGGTGTGTATAGTACATAAAGGTACCACCGTTTAAACGGTATCGTTTCAGTTCTTAGCAATCGTGTAAACGTTTACAAAAAATTGTAAACGTGGGAGCCTTAATCACATTTTCTTTATTTAAAAGTATTTACAGTCAGGACTCGATACAACAACACTGTAAATGTATTATTGCATTAGAGAACAATAAATGTATAAAATAGTAAAAAGTAATCTTGAATACTTAAGTGCCCCTTAAAGTTTGTTTACACTTAAAGTAATATATCTGTATTTTTACTGGAAAATATGGAATTAGTTATCACAGAAATACAGAATTAAATTCTGTGTTTCAATGTTTAATATTATAACTGGTTTAATTACATCAATACCTTTAATCTACTAATTAGTAATAAATCAGTGTTGTTTAACTTTAAGCACTAATTCAGAATGATCGTTAAACAAGTCATGTAAAAAAAATTTAAGCCAGACATTATTTGTCTAAAATCCTATTTGATTAATCATTATAATGGTTGTTGTCTCCCTTGATTGCTTTTTATTTTCAATTCTATTTGGTGTTTCAGGTCGTGATGTAGTAATACTCAGAACCCTGGAAGACATAAAACAGGGTCAACGCGAAATGATGGCAATGATTTCTGGGCTGGTGAAACGACTTGATGGTTGTGGGGAGAAAAACACAGATGTTCCAGATGGAGTTTATCTTCCAATATCAACAGAGGAACAACTCAACCATACGGAAGAAATCCTTAATGAGCCAGGCTCCATGAAAATGATGGTATAAACAAATTTTTATCTAGTTTAGAAAGCATGAAGCCTAAATGAAATTTTCTGAGGTCATTTAACCCTTTCACTGCCATAGGGACGGCTTAAGCCGTTCCTGTTATTTTCGGCATATTTGCCATATAGACGGCTTTAGCCGTTTCTTTATTAATAATAGTAATAATTATAAATCAATAATAATAATAATAATAATAAATATAAAGAAAATTATACCATCGACAATAATTATTATTATACTAACGGATTTGGAAACATATAATTATTATAATACTAATTTCAAATAATGATAATTATATTAATTAATAATAAAGTAATTTCTTAGAAAACCCTCTGGCAAATAGGTGATCAATAAAACAATAACCCTCTGGCAGCGAAAGGGTTAAGGTAGAATACCTGCCATGCAACCATGTTGGTTTGTTGCCAGGAACAAATGCGGCTAATTGCATAAACAAATATGATGTTGCAAGGACCAACTAACAATGTCGTTATTAAGACATGGTCACCATGTCACAATTTTGGCAAACCAGCAGAATGTTTGGCCCAGTTGTTCAAAACTAACATTAAGGATTTAACGCTTACTATCAGCGTTAACTACTTGCGCTTAGGCGTTAAAATCAACGTTAGTTAACGACAATTTGTAACGTTGGTCAGACCAGCATTAAGTTGACATTAACTTTTTGTTAGCTCACCTGTCACAAAGTGACAGGGTGAGCTTTTGTGATCGCTTTTCGTCCGGCGTCCGTCCGTCCGTCGTCCTTCCGTCTGTCCGTCCGTCCGTAAACTTTTGCTTTAAATGACATCTCCTCATAAACCACTGAGCCAATTTCATCCAAACTTCACAGGAATGTTCCTTTGGTGGTCACCTTTAAAAATTGTTCAAAGAATTTAATTCCATGCAGAACTCTGGTTGCCATGGCAACCAAAAGAAAAAACTTTAAATATCTTCTTTTAAAAAACCATAAGAGCTAGAGCTTAGATATTTGGCATGAAACATCTTCTAGTGAGTGTCTACCAAGTTTGTTCAAATAAAAGCCCTGGGGTCAAAATTGGCCCCGCCCCAGGGGGTCATTGATTTTCCCTATATGCATATAGTAAAAACTTAAAAAATCTTCTTTTAAAGAACCGTAAGAGCTAGAGCTTAGATATTTGGCATGAAACATCTTCTAGTGAATGTCTACCAAGTTTGTTCAAATAAAAGCCCTGGGGTCAAAATTGGCCCCGACCCAGGGGGTCATTGATTTTCCCTATATGCATATAGTAAAAACTTAAAAAATCTTCTTTTAAAGAACCGTAAGAGCTAGAGCTAAGATATTAAGCATGAAACATCTTCTAGTGAGTGTCTACCAAGTTTGTTCAAATTAAAGCCCTGGGGTCAAAATTGGCCCAGCCCCGGGGGTCATTGATTTTCCCTATATGCATATAGTAAAAACTTAAAAAATCTTCTTTTAAAGAACCATAAGAGCTAGAGCTTAGATTTTTGGCATGAAACATCTTCTAGTGAATGTCTACCAAGTTTGTTCAAATAAAAGCCCTGGGGTCAAAATTGACCCTGCCCCAGGGGGTCATAGATTTTCCCTATATGCATATAGTAAAAACTTAAAAAATCTTCTTTTAAAGAACCCAAAGAGCTAGAGCTAAGATATTTAGCATGAAACATCTTCTAATGAGTGTCTACCAAGTTTGTTCAAATAAAAGCTCTGGGGTCAAAACTGGCCCTGCCCCAGGGGGTCATTGATTTTCCCCTTTATGCATATAGTAAAAACTTAAAAAATCTTCGTTTAAAGAACTCAAAGAGCTAGAGCTAGGATATTTAATATGAAACATGTTCTAATGGGTGTCTACCAAGTTTGTTCAAATAAAAGCCCTGGGGTCAAAACTGGCCCCGCCCGGGGGGGGGGTCATTGATTTTCCCTATATGTGTATAGCAAAAACTTAAAAATCTTCTTTGGAAAAACCCAAATAGCTAGAGTTTAGATATTAAGCATGAAACATCTTTAAGTAAATATCTACAAAGTTTGTTAAAATAAACGCCCGGGGGTCAAAACTGGCCCTGCCCCAGGGGTGACATTGTTTTAAACTAGATGTGTATAGTAAAAACTTTAAAAATCTTCTTTTAAAAAGCCAATGAGCTAGAACTTAGATGTTTAGCATGAAACATCTTCTTATGGGTGTCTACCAAGTCTGTTCAAATAAACAAATAAAAGCCCTTGGGTAAAAATTGGCCCGGGGGTGGGGGGCCTATATACAGGTGAGCGACCTCAGGGCCATCATGGCCCTCTTGTTAACATCAACACTGGTTTTCTAGTTTTTTCTTCAATTTAAATGATAAGCTTACCTTTGTGTCTTTCAAGTCTTTTTTCATTTTCTACCTGATTTTTACATTTGTTGATTTCATTGGCGGCAACAGGGCAACATATGTGATTGTTACCAGTGTTGCAGTCAATATTTGTTATATTTTTTAACATAAAAAATACACAAACATTTGGCAAAAATTACGTTTCATAATTCTAGATCCACCAATACATTTTTACTTTTCAAACAGACCTAAATAGTAACCAGAAAATGAAAAGGACAGGCAATTAAAATAAATTGACAATAAAGGGCATACTGAGTATTCTTGCCTCCAAAGCCTACACAAATGATATTCCTACTTCTGATTTTTAGCTCGACTATACGAAGTATATGGAGAGCTGTCCTACTCGCCCCGGCGTCCGCGTCCAGATTTCAGATTAAAGTTTTGGTGCAGTAAAATATTTTTCACTATAACTTTGTCATTTCTTAAGGTATCAACTTCAAACTTCAAATATATGTTCCTTATCATCAACCACATCTTTATGTGACAAGGTTCATAACTCCAGCACCAATATTTTCAGATTTATCTCAACTTAAATTTTCCTTAAAAAATACTATTTTTTACTGTTACTTCTTTATTTCTAAACGGGATCAACCTCATACTTCAAATATATATGTACCTTATCATCAATCCCCATCTTATGTGACAAGGTTCATAACTTTAGCACCAATATTTTCAGATTTATCTCCCTTGAACTTAGAATTTTCTTTAGAAAAATATTATTTTTTTTACTTTAACTTATTTATTTCTAAAGGGATCAACTTCATACTTCAAATAAATGTACCTTATCATCATCCACATCTTATGTGATAAGGTTTCATAACTCTAGCACCAATATTGCAAGAATTATCTCCCCATCACCTTAGATTAGATTTTTACTAGAAAAATGTTATTTTTTTAACTATATATAACTTTTTTTAGTTTTAAAGATATCTACCTCAAACTTCAAATACTTATTCCTTATAATCCATTATATTTTATGTGACAATGTTCATAACTCTTGAAGTAATTTTTACAGATTTATTTCTCTTTGAACTTAGGGTTTTCTTTAAGAAATATTATAACTTTGTTACTTTTTAAGGTATCTACTTCAAACTTCAAATATATACTTCTTATCATTACATACATGTTGTGTGACAAGGTTCATAACTCTACATAATTGATTTTCTTTCATAGTTTTGTCCTCCTTACTGCGTCCAGTATTTTATTAGTCGAGCTTGGCTGTCTCCTGTGACAGCTCTTGTTTGTTTTGTTTTTTTCATTGTTGACAGCTGCCACAGCCAAGGTCTTTTGTGATTTAGGTAAACTGTATTTCAAGAAAAATGTTTGTCATATCGGTTTACAAGAAACGGTTGTACTAGTAGCATTTATCTGCCCATTTTTGCTGTGCTTGTATGTAGTCTTTTCAGTAAGTTTTTTTTACATTAGATTTATTTGTGGAAGAAAAGTAGGAAGATTCTAATTACTTTTTCTGACTTAGACATGCTTTGGCACAGTCTATCAACTCAACATATTTTTATTTCTCAACATATTTTGACTGCCTGTTGTAGAGGTCTTCTGCTGTAATTAACTTTTTGCTATTTAGGAAGTTAGTTCCTTTTTGGTATTTAGTCAACAACTTTAATTTTGTTTATTTTTCAAGATTGGAAAATCAAAATTTTATAAATATCATGTAATATGGCATATGATGGATGCAAAATAAGAAAAGGCAAAGTTAATTGGCACCTTTTACGATACCAATGCAGTTATTGATTGTTTCTATGCAGGAGCTGTGTAGTGTGTTCATAGATTATTTACTGAGTGAATTTTTTTTAACGTACATAATGTACATTTGTAGATTCTACTAGGCTTTCACTTAAATGAATATTTATTTCACATTGACCTCATGACAGCAAAAGCATTAAAATAATTTTGAATTGTAAAATATGCTTCGTCAAGTTAGCTTACCGTTGATACTAACGCTAACTTTTAAGGGTTACATCAGCGTTAACTAACACTTATGTCGACACAGCTTCCAAAAACCCACTAACGTTGACAGCGTTAGCAAGCGTTGACGCTGATGATTTAACGCTTACACATAAGTGTAACATAAGTAACTAAACGATAGTTTTGAACAACCCAGGGCCAAAAAACTCTTCTTTGTAGAGGCTGAATATAGGCTGCTTCCCCAACCAAACTAGCCTTTTTTTTTCCCCCAGTTTGGTCCTCAAAATTCCCAAGTCTTTTGTAATTTCCCATAGAATTTAGAACAAAATTAAATGATGGTGTTGAATTAAGGTCTTTAACTGCCTTTATTAGTATTTCCCAGTGCTTTATGCTTTCTATTTTGAAGAAGTTGTTAAAAGTTTGTGTTAAATTTGAGACCCCTTTTCCCAAAGTTTTCCTAAATCACGCAAATTTTCCCCAAGAAAAAGGCTGAGGCACCTTCCCCCAAAATGGAGTTTTGGCCCTGCAACCGCTAAGCTAATTTAGATTCACTATGGTACTCATTACAGCAATTCTACTTTAAAAGAGCAAACAACAAACTTTATGCTGTACAGTTGTTAAAACAGCCGTAAAATAACAGTTCTGTTTTTCTGTGACTATATCATTGACTATTTGATAAGCATTCTTATAAGTCTTCACAACATTAAAAATAATTATATTTTAAAGAACTGATTCTATTGCTGCAGTGATGTTTTTGTAAATAAGGGCTGTTACCTGTGTGCCCCAACATTTAGAGAATTTAGGCATGATAAATCACAATCATTGAAAAAATGTGACAGTTTGTTTTTATTCTTTGGTGTGCTATTTCTCCCAAACACTGTAATTTGTTTGTTTAAGTTATTGATTCTTTTTTAATGATATGCTAGATTACTTTTAGAGTTCAATGTAAATTTAATTAGAGAGGGAAAGTTTTTCACACAGTTTTGCCCCCCCCCCCCCACACCCCCCCCCCCACCCCCCCCCCCCCCCCCCCCCCCCCCCCCCCCCCCCCCCCCCCCCCCCCCCCCCCCCCCCCCCCCCCCCCCCCCCCCCCCCCCCCCCCCCCGCCCCCCCCCCCCCCCGCCCCCCCCCCCCCCCCCCCCCCCCCCCCCCCCCCCCCCCCCCCCCCCCCAAAAAAAAAAAAAAAAAAATCGAGCTGCAACCTGTTACCAACAAAATAAAATTTACTTAAGTGCCCCACATAGCACTGTAAAAATCCTATTTTATGAATACATATTGCAATTGCTTTCTTGCAGGTCAGCTATTTCTCTAGTTATTGGGGTGGATCTTCAGTCAAAATGATGACTAAGCGAATCATGAAGGAAGCCCTTCACAACAGCCTTGCTGTGCATTACAATTGGACGGGAGCCAAAGGAAAGATGTCATTATGGGTCACTGAAACTGAGTTCTGCAGTTCTTAGTAAGATATTTTTGTTGTTTACTTAATTTTCAGTTTTCATGCAAACTGATTTGCTCAAAGTCCTTGGACAAGCTAACATGAAAAAGCTGAAAATGTGCATTTACAAAGGAGTACATGCTGTTAAACGCTACTTTCTTAATGCTTCAGCTTCGCCAAAACGTGCTGTAAAAATTGATGTGACCAGTCACACACACTAAAAAGCTTTTTGTTTACAATATAAACTTAAAATGCGGAGAAAACTGCTATATTGTATTTTTGTATAATTTTAAAGAGACAAAATTAATTATTTCAGAAGCATTTTGAATAAACGTTTTTATGGGTTTAACATTTGCTGAGACCCTAGGGGTTATGTAAGCACCCTTGTGCCACATGCTTGGGCGCTAACATACCTTCAGGTATAGCAAATGTCAAAGCCACCCAAAATATGAATTATTCAGTATTCATATGTTTAACAATCCAATTTTGATGGTTAACCTTAAACTTGGCTACACTAACAATTCATATTTTAGAAATTCTCTCTTTATTTTTAATAGGGGCTGTACAGAGAAACTTTCCACAGGCAAATGGACATGATATTTGAGTTCTTTATCAAAGATTGGCTTAGAAATGCATCAGACAGAGATGGGCAGGAAGGATAAGAAGAAACCAAGCTTGGCCACCAAAATGTTGACAATCAGGCATAAACACAACAAAGTTGTAACAGACATTTTAGTGACTTAGAAACCAGAAGATGTAACTGGCATTTGGAGCTGAGCAGCTGGACAATATGACACTGTTTTATTGGATTAACAAAATGAATTGTTGATGTATATGTTTTCAATTTGAAATATTTTTCATAAAATAAGGGGTAAAAAACAAAAGAGTAAGAGAGGCAGAGAGTATTTGTTGGACGATGGGGATTTGAACCGCAACGAGGTGTTATGGTGATTGTAAAAAAAAGCTTGTTACCGACCTGACGCTTATGGAGGAATGTTAGAGGCACTGTGGCCTAAATTAAAACTATATACCACATGAGTTACGCAGTAAAGATGTACTACCTAGTAAAATTTTGAAATGCAAAAAACGGGTTTGAACGACATATTGCATTGAATTTACGTTAACAATATTTTTCATGCCAGTTATCTAATATTAAGCTTACTGAACAGGTGGATGGATAGCAAAAGTATTGGGCTTATTGACACTTTTTTTTTTTTTTTTCTTGTAAATTCTTTAAACGGTGGTTAGTACTTTAAAGGTTTTTATAGATAGAGGCAAATAAATATGTGTTACGCGCTCAAAAGTAAGTCTGTTTAACTGTAACCTCTTCCAACTCTATTTTATCGGTTGAGTGCAATTTATTTTTAACATATAAAACTGGTGTAAGGATAAAAACATCATCAAGTCGTTAAAAATAAAGAACAACATTTCTGATTGCAGTTTTGTTCACCAAAAAGCATTGTTTTACATCTAATGATATGGTTTCCAGGTAAGTTTTCACAGTCAATTAGGATTATATCACTAGAATAATCCTCTACGGACCCATTTTTCTGGCCGATGTTTACAGAAAGAGACATATTTTTTCTGTGGCCCTACTGTGCATTAAGTATAGTTTAGTGTCTAACCATATTGTTTAGGTAACTTATTTCATAAAAATGACCCTTGTTTATCACTTTACCCATAAAACATGAGCTTTTGTTGTTAATAGTAGTGACAAATGTGTATCTGTTAACCACTATTTTAATCATTTTCCTTTCTGTTCAGTAACGGACACAAATTAATTGTTATCAAATAATTGTTATCTGCAATTGACAAAATACGATTGTAAAAAGACTGATAAAACAAGTGTTTCAACTTTTTTCCCTACAAAACATATGCTTACATCATTGGTGCAGATAGGTCTTGGTAGTTGGGTGGCCGTGTGGCAGCGTGGTATAACATTTAATGTTCAAGATTGTGGTTGCCTTATGTTTTTCAACATTTACTATTCTGACTTTATGAAACTTTAAATAAGGATAGGTTTTATAAGTGTGGAAGTACACGACACATTACTTTGTGCTGAATGTTTGCTTTATTCCACTTTCTTGTTTGCCACCTTTTTATTTAGTTATTGCAATTTTCATAGGCTTAGATAGGAGACATTGAAAGTGCTGTGTGTGCAAGAACAATAGGTTTGTTGTTGTTTGGCTTATGTTGAGTATTGATTTGTGTAACTTCCTGTTAAGATACATGTTTATGTGTAAAAGCTTGATGTTAAAAGCTTTGTCTGCAGCTTTTATTTAGTTACTACTGTGAAAGAAATTATTACAATTTCATAGGCTTGATAGGAGACATTGAAAGTGCTGTGTGCAAGAACAATGAGTTTTGTTGTTTGCTATTTGAGCATTGCATTTTTTTGTTAACAGTTTGATGTTGAAAGTTTGCTTTTAATCATATTTTTAACATTTATTGAATTTTAATGAATATTCATGCAATGATAGAAGACCTTAAAATATTGCATGATATTTTAAAAACCCTTTTTTGTACAGTTTTTTTAATTATTGTCCTTTTTAATGTATAACTCTTAACACCATATACTGCCTATGAGTTCATTTTAGCTTCAGCTGATAATGGTTTATATTGCGGGGGAGTGATGATTATTTCTTGCTTATTTTTTTTTTATTAAATTGCCTTGGTTTAATTGTGTATTTGCCTGATATTTTTCAATAGCTATCATCCAAAATTTAAGAAACTTCAAATAAAGATAGTAGTTTATATAAGACTCATTATTCATTCTTGTGCAACTTTTGAAATATTTCCCTTAAATTTTAAATAAATATGTAGCGATGATAACCAGTTGTTCACATTATTTATGACCCGTTAATTACAACAGTTGAAAATATAAACTTGGTTTTCCAGTTTGTGTTAAAAATCTGTATACAATGGGTATACAATGGCCATGTTACTTTGTTTGCACCTTTATTTAGTTATTGCAATTTCATAGGCTTGATAGGAGACATTGAAAGTGCTGTGTGCAAGAACAATAGGTTTTGTTGTTTGCTATTTGAGCATTGCATTTTGTGTAACTTCCTTGTTAAGATACATGTTTATGTTAAAAGCTTTGTCTGCAGCTTTATTTAGTTACTACTTGAAAGAAATTATTACAATTTCATAGGCTTGATAGGAGACATTGAAAGTGCTGTGTGCAAGAACATTGAGTTTTGTTGTTTGCTAGAGTAGAAATGTATTTTGTAAGACCAAACAAAATCTATTTTGCCTTTTTGTACATATGAAACTGTCACTTTTAAAGAAAACTCACATGTATTAAAATTGTCATAGCAAATAAAGTCACCAATATGTTCTCCTTGGTGTCAGTGAAAACATTTAAACTTGTGGTTTATGCAAGATTAAATAAATATGTTGATTATGTATTTCGTTATTTTATTATTCTTCTGATCTATTAGTGTAGATTGAATATTTTGCCAAAGAAATAAATTTTTACTAATATTTGACTGATATATAGGGACCAACGAATACTAAATTAAACGACATCCGACTGTTATTATCCGATGAACAAAATGATAACGGCCCAAGATCGGGGCCGATATAGAATGCATGTCGGATAGATATCGGACCAATATATGAATGCAAAATACAATATCGGGCCCGATATTGGACCGATATTATACGTAAACGATATCGGACCTTTATCATCCGATGGGCAAAACGACAACGGCCCGAGATCGTTTACGATATCGGACCGATATAAAAGGCATGTCGGATAGATATCGGACCGATATTAAAATGCTGGCTGGGATTATCATCATTATTATTATCAAAATTTTCTAATCATCATTTCCATCATCATGATGAACTTTTCTATTTAAATTAGATCTATTTTATTATCACCATATTTGTAATCACCACCCTTAATCATCACCATGTTTATTACTATTTTCATTCTCTTATTTCCATACCCATCATTTGTTTTATCATCATTTTATCATCAGCACTTTGGCAATCATTAATACCATCATCGTCAGTTCTATCATCATCAATTCTTTTGTCAACACTTTTGAAATCATCATTCCCATTTTTTATCAAAATGACCTAGAAGTTCACAAACGGCCATATCCCGCTCAAAATTCACGCCAAGAGAGCTATGGACCTTGGACAGTGACCTCAAATTATTATCCCAAGACATGCAGTCTTCACGAAAAACTTTAAAAAGCACAGGACATTCGGGCCAGTAAAATTCAAATCTTACTGGACCCTTGATTTTAGCCGGACCAAATACATACGATAGGTAATAAATTGATGGGTAAAGGAAAACACTTCATCATGATTCCTTGATAATTTTGAAAAAAAAGCATAATACTTCTTGTATTCTGGGCCATATGTTGACAGCTTTGAAAATTCTAGTATAAGGACCAAATGTTTAGGCAAAATTTACTAGCATTGAACATGAACAACGCAATTTGCTTCAAACAAATCACTTTCACACAAAATATTTACTTAACTCAATAATCACAAAATCATAGCTAAATAATGACCATAATAAACAATGGTTTAATTTCTTATAATATTTTCTCATGGCCAAAAATCTACTGGCGCATCGGACCACCAACCTTGCAATAATCACCGGACTGATGCTAAATTTAGTGGCCTCGGACTGGCGTTAATTTCGAAGACTGGACATGTATTAAGTTTCAATGTAGATCCTTACAAATATGGGTTGATCGTAAGCTCCAATGACATACATAAGCTTGCTTTACTTCAGACAAGTTGTTGTTGTTGTTGTTTGGAGTCAGACCTGGTTTATTTTAATAATAATCCTCAACATTGCTTCTTTTGGTTAAGTGACATCATATTTATGTTCGGAACTTCCACTACTTCAAATAAATCTAACTATACCTTATACCTTGTATTTCCTTGAGTAAACGATTCTCTGAAATATTCAGTTAGAAAATCTACATTTGCACAGTCCACTGTAGGTCATTAAATCATAAACATAAAAAATAAATAATATACGAATTAGATCTACAAGTTTCTCGAAATTCACAATAACAAACTAAACATTGATGACGTCAACGTAAACATCTGACGTCACATTAAGGAGCGGTACATATTGGCGCCACTACACAAATAAGGAGAAAAAACGGTGGTAATCTGCCAATATAAACACTGGCTGGTATATACAAGTATATGCAGCCCTCGATAAGTATGGGTAAGAGTTCGTATTAAGACGACCGTAGGGAGTCTTATCGAACTCTTACCCATATAACTGCAAATCGGCTCTTACAACTCGATATCAGATAAAAAATATAGTTCTAAAGTGTCACCTCTTTAATTAAGCATAACATTATTTTTCCCCAGCAGTCACGTACGAACAAGGATGGGGTCCAATTTCGTAATCTGGCATGTAAAACAATGAGTTTTCAACAATACCTAGGATTGTTAATGCAATTCATTCCGGTCATATGAAACAAAAATAATGATTTGCTTACTTTTTCTAGAAAAAATAAACAGTCAGCAATTAATAATTGACATTTTTCTTACAGTAAAAAGGATATCAAAAAGTTACTGTGTTCTCATTTGTCTCTGCGAGCTCAGCTCCACGTGCATTATCTATGTAATAAATTTGAATGTATCCTCACATTGCTATGAAC